TATATATATGGTCCTGGTGTCTCTTTCAGAGTCTTTTACACACAAACTGAGCCGGCTGCATTTCACCTCACACACACGAGACAAGTCCAGGTCCACCACACAAAATACAAAGTTTTATCCTTATTTACACCTTTTTATACACAGTTCAGTAAGAAAACTTTATCCTAATCCGAAGATTTCTCCAATCAGCCCTCATCCTTATTTATTCAGGGTTTAATACCCCTTCCACTCTAATTCAGGGAAATAATTTTTATTTCCCCTTCCTTAATCATTTTAAATCAATCCTGTGTCTCACAAGCCCTTCCTATAAACTTAATGGCAACGTTTTAATCCAGAGGTTTTCTAACTCCTTCCACAATCCAGGGTCCCCGACCGCTTCCTATAAAACAAAGTCTATGGGTCCCAGATCCTTTTTACTTACTTTCACTTTTAATCCGAGGTCTTGCGATCCCCTTCCAAGATTAAAATTACTTTTTTAAAACCTGTAAATTTTAGTACTGTCCGAGGTCTGGCAATGCCCTTTCAGATTCAATTTAGTTTAAAACTTAAAGCGTCCCCTAAATCCTTGAGTGTTTTATGAACTCAACTAGAGGAACCGCCTTCCTCTTTTCTCCTCTCTCGTCAGAAAATGAGTGAAGTGCTACCTCTATGATTTTTCCATTGCCTTTAACTTTAACCTTATATTTGTTTTGTTTTAAAACACCAGTCTCCGTAATTTTGATTTAACAGCTGAATTGGTGCAGAGTTTGTGTATGATAATACTGAACACCCCACTGGCATTTTTAAGGGGTAGTTTGATCTGTAAACAATCAAAGAATAAAATATGAACCATGATTAGTAAAAAAGGTCCTTCTCACTCCTCTTAAAAATAGTGAAAAGTACTACATGTACTAAATGTGATATAAATAATACAACTGTTAATGAGTTCAACTTACAGTTATCAGTGGGTTTGATGGTGGTCGACTCTACTGGCCCGGTCGGAGCACTTCCATTATGTTTTTAAACTTGTATCATTTTTGTAACACGCACTTGGTTTTTAGAATACTTTATTTTTCTTTGTAGCATGTTTTTCTTGCATTTGTTTTTGTGTTTGCATTTTAAAGTTTGCAGCATTTTCTAACTAGCAGTCAATTTTATGAATACAGCATTTTTATTTTGAAAAGTTATTTTTATTTGCAGCACATTTTTATTCATATATATATATATTTTTTTCAGTATTTGCACCTGTCAGCCACTGTAAGCAGG